CAAAGGACATCGCACGTAAATATAATGTAAGGAAGACTGAACAGAAAAAGATACTTGAAAGTCAACAGGAAGATGTTAGTGACTCCAATAAAAATACTGATTATGTTTATCAAAGACTAAAATAAAATGAATTATATATCTATACTTATTAGTACTTAGAAATGCAAGCTCAGGCAGTAGTGAAATATCACATTTCATCTGTTAGACCTGGAAAAGTAGAAACGTGGATAATGATGACCGTATGTGGAACACAGGGATTGTTACAGGCTGCTGGCGGAAGTATGAACTAGTGCTGTTGCTCTGTAGAGCCACAGTATATTACTGAGTCAAGCACCCTACTTTTGGATATATATGTTCCTGTTAAGCTAAGTTCCCTAAAGTGAAAAATAATGCAGAAGAATGTGCACTGGATGTCTTAGCAATGCCAGAACATTCTATATCATGAGGATTATTTAATTCTCAAAGGAAATGTCTTTATTTCAATTAATATTTATTATTTGATTAGCACCCAGGTTCTATTGAAGTTATTAATGTTAATTTGAAAAAAAGATTATTAATTTACAAAAGATTTGGCTGGTAGAAAAGAGAAACTCAATATTACATTTTTATTAGTCTAGTAGTTTTTATATCTCAGCAATATCATTTCTTTTTTTTCAGAAAGCATGAACTCAGTTTTTCTAAGTGAATTTGAACCAGCCTTGTCATCCTGTTTGTCTTCTTAGTGAGTTAAATAAATCGTTCAAATGTAATTATCATGTATTTATAAATCATATTGATTGTTGGAAATTATATTGTGACAACTTGGAAGGCCTCATAGAGATGCCCAAATGGGCTCATAGTAGGAGTTCATTACACTTTTTAAGTATTACTTGAAAAATATACCTCATGAATTATTTAAGCAACTAAAATACAAGCAAATGAAATTGTATTTTCTCAAAAACCATTTACTTATAAGGCTTGAATAACATGGAAGGAATCTTAACAGCTTGCTTGAGGGGTACCCACATATTGCTGTTGTTCTAGTTATTTTATGGGAAGGATAGCCAGAGTTCACTTTTGCAATGTCCTAGAAAGCCTTCACTAGTTTTAGGGCTAATAAAAAAAATCTATCTGTTATCACTAAAAGAGTATTGTTTTGCACAAGCATCCTATGTCAGCACAAAAAGCCACAGCACCACCAGATAGTCACAACCAGTGCCACAATCGTCCTGCCTTTAGCTCGCTTCCGTGGCACAGGCCTCCGCTATTCCGAGCTCCTTAAAACCTTTACAGACTTCCTAAATTGAAACCAGCAGACCTGAGCCTGGTCCACCTGTAACTACCATCTCATTAACTAATCTAACGGTCCTGCCAGGTGTGATCAAAGGTCCAGATCCAGGGAGCAGAGCGATACGCCCCTTAGGCCTTCTGGGAAATGTAGTCCGCAGCCAGAGCGATGCCGACTGCTCCGAGGGCATCGCCTGGAACCTCCAGAAACGACTAGTTCAGCTTTTTAAGTCGAGCCGGATCTACGCTGAGTGTACCGACGAATAGGCGAGCTGCAGCCGGGCCTCCAGGTGCCAACCTGGCTCGCTCACCCCCTGCTCGACACAGGAAGCACAGCCCGCGCTCCGGCCGGAAGTGGGGCAAACCGCGCGGCATTCTGGGGGCAGTTTGAGCGGTGGGGCGTCGCGGCGGCTGAGGGGGCGTTTTAACGCTAGTGAGGCGTGTCAGCAGCCCGTGGGCCGCTGGTGTTCCCTCCGACGGTCAGAACCTGCTGCGCTGGATGAGCGCGAGGGCCTTGCTGGCCGGCGGTGCCGCCGCGTCCCCTCAGAAGTTGTGGGCGCGGCGGGGGGCGGGGCGGGAGAGTGGAACATTCGAGCTGCACGCGCGGCTGACGGGGCGGAGCCTGCGGAGGCCCTGGGAGCAGCTGGACACGGCGTGCGCCGGGGAGAGCGCATGCTGCCGTGGAGAAGGCGTGCTCCGTGGAGAGCGCGTGCTCCGTGGCCTGCGGAGGCCCTGGCAGCAGCTGGGCACGGCGTGCTCCGTGGAGAGCGCGTGCTGCGGGGCAGGGGCGCTGCTGGTGAGTGGCCGCCCCTCCACGGTGGCGGGGAGCGTGTGCGACGTTTCGCGGGGTGTGATTGTGCCGGAGTGGGCGGCTGTGGGCACGAAGGCGCGGTTATCGGGGGCGGGGGGACTGTAAAACCTGCGTGTCCTGATGGTGGTACTAGGTAAATGTGTGCTGAGCGTGGACCGTGTTAACTGTGCCTGGTTGTGCTAGTTGGAGTTGGTTCTTGCCTTACTTGAGTTCTAGTTTGGTGCACTTAGGAACTGCTTGGGAAGCTTTTTTTTTTTTTTTTTTAGATAGTTCTGCATTTGTTTTGTAGTAGTTTGCCTTCCTCACTGGCCACTCCCCAGATCCCCCTTGCTGCCGCTCCATCTTCTCCCCGTAGTCCTAAGGACCTTTCGCTTGCTTTCCAGTTTTCCTTCGTGATTTTCCATGTTCATTGTCTTCACCTGTGGCTTGCTTCCTCTGCTGCGTCGGCCGGTTGGGTGTTAGCACCCTGCCCAGCGACCCTCTCCCTTGACCGTGGCCTCCCGGCGGAGTTTCACAGCAGGCGTTGTGTCCTTGGGCTTGCAGGCGCAGGGTTTTCATGTAACCCCAGGCTGGCCTTGGCCGAGCGAGGGGGCTGCCGGAAGAGTGCAGATAAGGCTCTGCGTTTGTTCTTTCTGGGCGCGGGGTAAAAGGCCAGTGGTTGCCAGGGGCTGCTCTTCTCGCGGTGGGTCCCTGGGGCACATGATAGCATCTGCAAACATTCCTCAAACCTGTACTCACAAGAAAGCTAATAATAGATGAGCCAAAGCGAATCACCTGGCTAAGCTTTTCCTTTACACCCTCCGATGAAAGACTTGGGAAATGAAGGGTTGGAGGCAAGGTTCCAGTCCACCGCATGAAGAAGCATGACTCTTAATTCTGGTGATTGTCTTTTAGCTCTTACTCTCTTTTTGTCTGACTGTTGCATTTCAGGTTTTGTTATTGCACAGTCGGTATTTCAGTATTCATTTTCCTTTCCTTTTGTTTTTAGGTTTCAAATGTTAATGACTTTGTTTCAGGTTTTTTTTTAAAGACTATATTTCTGGTCTTTTTACGCTTCTGCTAGTTCAATAAACAAATTTGTGTTTATCCCAGTAATAGAAAATTTATTTTCTATTTTGTATTTTACCTTTTTATTGTGCAGATTTGCCTTATTTTTCCCGCCTCTATGTTAGTTTGATTTCTACTGTTTTAAAATTTACAAATATGCTTTATTGGATTTAAATTCTAAAAAGGTTGGTTCATCCAAATTCAAGACATCCATGTTAATTTTAGTTTCTGTCTTATCTTTCCATTTTAATGTGCATAATTTACAAAATCCAAATTTAAATAAGATTTAAGTAAACTCAAACTCCAAACTGCCCACCTGTCTCTTTTTTTTCTTGTCTGATATGTTTTCTTCTGGCTTTGTTCCTTCTGAAATCAGTACTAAAAATTTGTTCTATGTACATTTATATGTATTTTTGAATTGTGTTAAAATACATAACCTCAAGTTTACCTTTTTTTAAAAAGGTTAATTTTACTTGGAAAGTAGATTTTAGAGGAGAGACAGATTTTCCACTCACTGGTTCACTGCCCAAATGGCTGCCAACAGGCAGGGCCAGCGCTGAGCTAATCTGAGCCATGAGCTTCTTTCTGGTTTCCCCAACTGGGTGCAGGCGCCCATGGAGTTGGGCCGTCCTCTGCTGCTTTCCCAGGTTAATATGCGGAGAGCTGGATGGGAAGTGGAGCATCCTGGAGTTGAACTGGCACTCGTATGGGATATTGGCATTAAAGGTGGAAGGTGTTAGTCTGTTGTGCCACCGTGACTGTCCCTGAAATTTAGCATTTAAAACATGCTTACACATGTGGCTCAGTGGCATTAAGTACATTCACGCTGTTTTGCTACAGTCAACACCACCCATCCATCTGCAGAACTCTTTGTATCTTGCAAACGAGAAACTCAGGTACCATTAAACCATTTCTGCTCACTCCCTCACTTCTCCAGTTCTTGGCAACCACTGTCTGCTTTTCATTAATTGGAGTATTTAGATGCATCATATATGTGGTGTTAAAATATTTGTCCCTTTCCGGTTGCTTAGCATAATGTCCTTGGCAGCCACCCTTGTAAGCCTGCATCAATGTCCTGTTTAAGGCTGAGTCATAACGCATAGGTTGTGTGTGGATAAGTGTTTTTTCTGTTCATGTATTACTGGATCCTTGCATTGTTTTCTACCTTTTGACTGGGCAGTAAGCAGTGCTGCTATAAATAAGGGATATGACTTCCCAAATCCTTGCTTTCAGTTCCTCTAGGTATAGACTCAGAGTAGAATTACTTGATCAGATATTAATTGTTTTTAAATTATTTGACTACAATACTATTTTCCATTTTTTTGAGCAAGTGTCAGTGGCAATAACTAAGAGAAATCTTTTTTCATGGAGTTTATGTAGGGGGTAAATGGGTAGAATACATGACAAATGAGGTTTGTAAGATTAAATTGTTATAAAGTAATCTGACTAGGTTATTAAAAATGTACCTCAAACATATCATTTTTTAAAATATATTGTAAAAATGAGTTTTTTATTCTATCACACATGGTATATTGTCATTTCCGTATGTCATTTTTGGTATTTATTTAGTATCATTTCACTTACTCGCTCAGTATCATTGTGGCGTGGGTATGATTCTCATTTAGCATGAAGAATCTTGGATTTCTAAATTGTACTATAGTCTCAACTGCTAAGGTAACTCAGAATAGCTAGAATTTGCTGTTTCATTTTTATTTGAAAGAGAGAGAAGCCGATCTGGTTCAGCTGGTTTACTCCCCACATGGCTGCAATGGCCAGAGTGAGTGCAAGTCCAAGGACTCTGCACGCTGCACCTCCCCCCGCCTTTGCTGCCTTCCTGTGCAGTCAACAGGGAGCTGGTTCAGAAATGAGCCTCGAGGACTTGAACCAGTACCCAGATGGGATGCTGGCACCATACCAGCTGTACCACAGCACTGGCCCGAAGAATAGCTAGACTTTGAATGCAATATTCTTACTCCAAATCTCAACAGGTGCAGATTTGAGTTGGTGGGTCAAATTTATATCTGTTACTGTATCAAGATTCTATCTTTATATACTTAGAGGATATTTGAGGTTATGTGTGGACATTATTTGGTTTCTAGACTCTTAGTATCTCTCGGCGGATTTCATTCAGGCTGAATTGCTGAGTCTAAATTCTCCAGACAGCGTCTCCAATGTAGTGTCCAAGGGGTGTGGGTAAGGAAGAGAAGTACTTGCAGCTTCATCGTATCTCAGATGACCGCGAAAGTTGATGGCTTAAACAGTGATAATTGTTTCTACAGAAGATGACTTCGCTGCCTGTTCTGACAGGTGCCTCATTAAGTTGCAGTCAAGATATTTGCAAGGGTGCAGTCGTTAGAAGACTGGTCCAAAGTTAGAGTCAGCTGTTGAAGCCTCTCAGTAGAGCTCTCTGAGTGTCTTCATGGGTTGGTGACTGAATCCCTTTAAAGTGCATGAGCCCCGCCCCCAAAAGAAATGTAAGACAGAACTCCATGTCTGCTAGGGCCTACCCTTGAAAGTTACACAGTGTCAGCTCTGCAACATCCTGTTGTACAGATCAGCCTTAGTGTGGGAGGGGTCCACAAAGATAAGAAAACGAGAAGACTGATTATTGGGGGACCATTTGGAGGGTGGTTAGCACAGGAATCCAGTGAAAAGGCATCAGGTAAATTGCATTTATGTCGTAAGCCCACAGGTCCAAGCTCTACAAGGATAAGACAGATTTGTGGATGTGAGTCAAAAGCCTGAGAAACAAGTATCTATCATGGAAGATCTGTGACGTCAAACGTGTCCCAGAGCCTGGAAGTTATCAGGAAAGAGCAGGCCCTGGAATTACTGGAGCTGGATTTTCTCTCAAGAATGAGCCAAGTCTGAATTACATTTCAGCCATCTGCAGTCAGAAGTAGCTGTGTGACAATGGAACAGTTGATCCAGATGATGGAGAAGCAAGGTAAGGCTCCTCAAATGGGCAAAATTTCAGAGAGCGAGAAGTCGTACATTCAGGGACAGTGTTAGTGTTGAAGAGTTAGAATTTGATTTCTTTGTAATAATTTTTAGGATATATTTTCATGGGTACGCTTAAATGTTAACATTAAGCACAGATTTCTATTCCATCTCTTCTAATCCACTCTTCCCATTCCTTACTTCAACTACTTTAAATATTTTTGGTTGGATATTCTGCCATGTATCTCATTTTCTTGAATTACATTTCTGTATTGCTATGCTTATTTTTTTTTCAGCTTTTGGTATTTTTATTGACTTTTTGAAACATTTATTTGAAGCACAAAATTCTTCCATCTGCTGGTTCATATCTTAAATGGCCCAAACAGCAAGAGTTTAGATACGCTGAAGCCAGGAGCCAGGAATTCAGATTTGGTCCCCTGCATTAGTGGCAGCCGGGGCCAAGCATTTGGGCCATATCTGCTGCTTTCCTGGGCTGAATATTAAGCAGAGCAGCCACAACTTGAACTGGGACCTCCAGTGTGGGATGCCATCATCTCAAGTGGCTGCCTAATTTGCAATACCACAACACTGGTCCTTCCTGTTGACTGACTTATTTAATTTATTTAGTGGCCCGCCATGATAGCCTAGTGGCTAAAGTTTTCGCCTTGCATGTACCAGGACCCCGTATTGGCACCAGGTTATTTGCTGAGCTGCTCCACTTCTCATCCAGCTCCCTGCTATGCCTTGGGAAAGCAGTGGAGGACGGCCCAAAGCCTTGGACCTTGCATCTGCAAGTGTGGGAGAGCTGATTCACTCCAGTGGCCACAATGGGCTCTCTTACTTTTTTTTTTTAAGATTTATTTTTATTGCAAAGTCAGATATACAGAGAAGAGGAGAGAGAGAAAAATCTTTCATCTGATGATTCACTCCCCAAGTGACTGCAGCAGCCAGTGCTGTGCCGATCTGAAGCCAGTAGCCAGGAGCTCTTCCAAGCCTCCCTCCCATGCAGGTGCAGGATCCCAGCCTCGACTGCTTTCCCAGGCCACAAAGAATAATCGAGATTATTTTTTTTAAGGATTTGTTTCATGGGCAAAGTTACAAAGAGAGAGAGATCTTCCATCTGTTGCTTCACTTCCCAAATGTTTGTAATAGCTGAGGCTTGGAGGCTGACGCCAGGAGTCCAGAAAGTCCTCCAGGTCTTTTGTGTGGAGTCCAGAGAATTGGCCCCTATTCTGCTACTTTCCCAGACACGTCAGCAGGGGGCGGGATCAGAAATAATGCAGCAGGACTGGAACCAGTACCCATGTGAAATACTGGCACTGCATCACTGTGCTGGCGCCCGCAAATTCTTGTAATAAAGTCAATCACCTTAAAAGCATCTTACTCATTAAATCTTTCTGGTACTTATTATATAAGACAAATAAAATTTCCTCTAAGGAATAAGATAATCAAATCCTATGGAAATACTATGTTAGATTTATTTTGCGTCATACGGTTTGCCCTCCAGAAATTCCCATCAGACCTATATAATCAGTCATCACTATACCTTTTAACGTGTATAACTTAATGGTGTTTAACATTTCTCATAAATCTTAGGGCCATTCTTTTAAATGACACCTTCTAGAGGAATTTCTGTTTCTTTGGGTAGAACTCTGAAGCAGATGTGTTTTTTCTTCCATCAGGTTGGTGTTCTCGGGACCCTGCCCTTCGTGCGAGAGGAGAGGACGCATCCAGATCTCTGGTAGGTTTTCAGCAATTGTTTGTTGTATTATTTTAGCGGTGTAGTTGCAGTGAATTGGTATAAACTACCGTAAATTTTTAAAAAATGGTGAAAAGATGAGGAAAAAGGTAAACAAAATCAGAACCCAGACCAATTTGAGACATGACTGCATTGAGTAAACACATACAAGATTAATAAAGCTGAGTTTAAATTTGAGTAAGATCTTGCAGTGTTTGTGAAGAAAAAACTTCAAATTTTCTAAAAAAAAAAAAAAAAACCTTTTCATTGGATATTACATAAAAAATATAGTTCTACAGATATTCCAGAATTCTTATAATTTGAAATTCAGTTTTTGAAGATTAATCATGGTCAAACATCAAAAGCCAAAATTATCTGAAGAATAAATGGAACATATGTCTTTCATATGATCCTGCATATGTTTTCTTGAGTTGAGCTTTTGATACAAGTTGCTGAATTATACTAATTTTATTCAGCGAAGTGTTATATAGTTTTCCACATTATATTATAGTCTTAGAAGATGTAGTATTCTGGAGCACGTTATAGAATGCAGAATAACTGATTTTTGGAATAGTAAAGAAAATTAAGACTTTAAGAAAATAAAATGTGTTCTTCATCAGCCTTACTACAGGATTCCCTTCTGCTCTTATTCTTTGTGTTTGTACCAGTAAGGTTATGCACATTCCTACAGTTTGAACTGAATCATATACCTTAGCTTACATTTTCCTTATCAGGAACATGGACACCCTTTTTCTGACCATATAGTCATATAGCTCATTCAGTTATTTTTCCTGCTAGCATGGTGGTTTTTTGGTCCTTGTCACACTTAGAACCAAATCTTACGTAGGTTCATGTTAATAGGCGCATGGCTTTTGTTATCTTATAAAGTATATGACACAGGTAAGTTTATTTCATGCCTTTGTTGCAACATTGGTAAAAGGGGATGATAATGGCACTTATCATATAGGAATATTAAAAGTTAAATGCATATAGCATGTGCCCCATAACTTTATTTTGCTTTGTGTTACTTTATTAATTTTTATTGGAAAGTCAATTGTACATAGAGGAGAGACAGAGAAAGATCTTCCATACAATGGTTCACTCCCCAAGTGACTGCAGTAGCCAGTGCTGCGCCGGTCTGAAGCCAGGAGCCAGGAGCTCTTCCAGGTCTCCTGTGTGGGTGCAGGGTCCCAAGGCTTTGAGCCGCCCTCCACTGCTTTCCCAGGCCGCAAGCAGAGAGCTGGATGGGAAGCAGGGCTGCCGGGATTAGAACCGGTGCCCATATGGGATCCTGGTGGGTGCAAGGTGAGGACTTTAACTGCTAGGCCACTGTGCTGGGCCCGTAACTCAGCATTGTATGATTTTCAGAATATGAACATTTGTCGTTCTTCCGTGCCTCAATATTTTGTTTTTATGCTGTTGTGAGTGGTACTGCTTCCTTAATTTCATTTATGAATTTGCTGTGTCTCACAATACAGTTGACTTTTCTTACTGATTTTAATATACCTCTCTGAATTTGTTTATTCAAGTAGAATTAGTGTTTTTTTTTCTGTATACAAAATTATATAAGAAAAGACAGTATTATTTTCTCGCAGCCTAGATGCTTGTTATTTTATCTTGCTTAATTTTCTGTAAGGTTTCTTTTACAGTGTTGAATAGAAAGGATGAGAGTAGGCCTCTGAACTTAGGGAAAAAACATATTTCACGATTTAAATTATTCCTTAATTAAAATATTCCTTTGAGGTTGCAGAAGATATCATATATCATGTTGAAGAAAGCACTTTGTTTAGACTGTTGTATATTGTTTTTAAATCATGAGAGGGTGCTGAAGATAATAGTTTGGCTTTGTCTTTTATAGTATTGCTGTTCTATATTCTATATTAGTGTTTTGGATGTTAATCCAGCATTTTAGTGGTATACATCTTCCTGTTGGGTCCATTTTTTTTTTTCTTGATCATTTTTATTGGAAAAGTAGAATTAGAAAAAGAGGATGGAGGGAGAGAATCTTTGATGTACTGGTTCACTCCCCCAGTGGCGACAGCAGCCACAGCTGAGCTGATCAGAAGCCAGGAGTTTGTTCCAGTTCTTCCAGTTGAGTGCTGGAGCCTAAGAACTTGCGCGAGCCTCTGCTCTTTCACAGGCCATAGCAGAGAGCTGGATGGGGAGGTGGAGCAGCCAGGACTGGAACTTCTGAGATGCCAGCAGTACATATAGAGACTTACCTGCTAAGCCCATGGACATGGCCCATGTCCATAATTCTTTCTTGTATTGGGTTCATTAGCATTGAGCATGTCTGTGTCTTATTAATAGTGATCTGTAGTGTTTGTGCATTTAATGTCTGATTTTAGTATTGGGGTAGGATTGGATTCAGAGTTAAGTTTTCTGTAATTTTTTCCTATATTTTGAAAGTACAGAAGTTAGTGTTAACCATTATTTCTTTATTATAATTTACCAGTGAAGTCATCTGGGTCTGGGCCTGAGGTTTTTTACATGTTTTTGTGGTGGGTAGATTTTGATACTGGTAGTTTAGTCACTCTTATACATTTTTTTCTTTTTGCTCATTTCATTAGTTTGTCTTTCTAGAATGCTTGGATTTCATTTATGTCATCTAATTCATCAGTGTATGATTGCTCATATTTTCTAATACCTCCTTATATGAGCTTAGTAGTCATTTTTTTTCATTCCTGATTTTACTATGTTTTTATAGACTCTCCACCCTCCTTCATCAGTTAAAAGTTTGTATATTTTTCTTTTTGAAGAATGAATTGCTGGTCTCAATGACTTGCTCTCTGGACTCCATTGAGTTTTCAGTACAATGTTTGTTATTTATTTCCATCGAGTTATATTGGGTTTATTTTCCTCCTTCCAGTATCTTAGGATGTGTGCAGTTAGCTATTGATTTCAAATCTTTTTTTACTGTGACTTTTCATTGTTGCTTTAAACTTAACTTTACTGGCATTGTATTTCAGTATGGCATGTCTTGATTTTTATCCATCTCAAAATGTTTTGTAATTCCCACTGCAATTTTTTGATCCTTTGAGTACTTATGAGTATTACTTCATTTTATAAAATTTTCTTTGCTGCTAATTTCTAATTTTTATCAGTTGTGAACAGAGAACATATGTTGTATAATTTTAGTCCTTTTAAATTTATTGAGACTTCTTTAAAGCACATATATATATATGTTATTGATCTGGGAGAATATTTTATATACATTTGTAATTGAAAAATTTTTCTCACACATTTAGAGTTTGTCCCTGAATCTGTATACTAAAGCATACTAACAGAAAAAGTGAGATCGTTAAGTATTAACAGGAAATTGTTCTGATGGATGCAGTAAAAAGGGAATTCAGAGAGCATTATCTCAAATCACTTCACCACAAGGATATGCCCAAATCTAAAGTCAACACATACTAATGGCTTCCTTATATAACACTGTCCTTTGCTTTATATTTGTTCCAGCTGGAGTTGGTGTTTTGAGTATACATGCCAAAAAATAGTACCAAATACAGGTTGGGGTCATTATAGTTGCTCACAGCTTATTAGAAACCAGGGAGAGACTGAATGTTCTATTCAACCCATGAATAAGAATGAATGATGAAGATGGAGTAACCCTTTGTGTCCCATTGTCCTATATAGGATACTCATTAAAATTAAACAGTAAATATACCATTTGTACAAAATTTGAAATACTGTGTTCTTAGTGTTATCTCTTGAAAAAATAATAGGTAAATGATTAAAATGTTTGAAAATATTTTCAGCTTCATTGTGAAATGGCATAAACTTAAATGTTTGGTAAAAGTAATTTTTACATTTAAGCACATAATGGATTTTAAAAAAATGAATTCATGAAAGTGTTTCCTAGAACTAGGTTGTCATTTTATTACAAATGCACTTATTCAAGAAATGAAGTTATCATTCAGGAAATGATAAATTATTTCAAGTTATCTAGTGTTTGAAAGTATCTGTCCACTAGACACTGGGACAATGGATTACATAGTATTATGGAATATTCCACTTATGTTAGAGATTATGGAAAATCATGTGGGCCTCTGTTCACTCAAATAAATGATATGTGTGTTGTAAATGTATGTTATTCACAAATTACTGAACAAAGAGAAGCATTTCTTGGGAGACTTGTGAACCTGGAGCATACATTGCAGGATTGGGCACAATGGAGAGCATACCCTGATGCAAGGAAAGCCAAAATACCCAGCTCATCTAAGTCAGCAGGAAACTTCTAGTACCTCCTCAAAAGAGGGGGGAAGCAGGACAGGTTGAATAACATTCCAAACCAGTTTCTACAATAGGCACCGAGGTCTGTGGGTACACTGAAGTACACAGGGTGAGCCAACAGAGTTTAGAGAGAATTTCTCATGGCTAGCGCAGTGGCTCTGTAGGCTACTCCCCTGCTTATAAGTGCCAGCATCCCATATTGGCAGCAGTTCATGGACCTGTTTCTCTACTTCCAGTCCGGCTCTCTGCTTCTGGCCTGGGAAAGCAGAGGGTGGCCCAAGCCTTTGGGAGCCTACCTTTATGTGAGAGATGGGAAGAAGCTTCCAGCTCCTGGCTTCAGATCAGCAACTGTGGCCATCTGGGGAGTGAACCAGTAGATGGAAGATCTTTCTGTGTTTCTGCTCTCTCTAAATATGCCTTTACAATAAAAATAAATGAGTCTTTAAACAATTAGGATCATTTAAGTCGTACTCTTAGGACATTCTTCTCCATATTGGGGTTTCTAAAGTGACAACAAATGACCATATCCATTCCTGATGCTGATGTATAAGTATCACTCTCTCCCCAGCCCCAACCTTGACACCCAACCTTCTCACCCTAATTGAAGGCCTACATGGGTATACAATCCACTTACTTATGTAATCGATATTACATAAGTGATATCAGTGAATGGAAGATCATTCCTCTATAAATCTGTCTCACAGATTAAAAAAAAGTTAAAAAAATGCAGGCCTGGTGTGATAGTCTAGTGGCTAAAGTCCTTGCCTTGAATGCGCTGGGATCCGATATGGGCGCCGAGTCTAGTCCCCGCAGCCCTGTTTCCCATCCAGCTCCCTGCTTGTGGCCTGGGAAAGCAGTTGAGGACGGCCCAAAGCCTTGGGACCCTGCACTCATGTGGGAGACCTGGCAGAGGCTCAGCTTTGGGGAGTGAATCAGCAGATGAAAGATCTGTCTCTCTTCCTCTCTATATATCTGACTTTCCAATAAAAATAAATCTTAAAATCTGCTTAGCATATGTAAACTAATGCAATGAGCAACAGTCGAGAAAATAGCTATAATACTTCCAAAGGTACTACTGTCTAAGATGGCAGATTTACATGAGAATCCATAGTGTGCAAAACAGCCAAGAACAGTTAATTCAAAACAAACTATGTTGCATAAAGCCAACAGAACAGTTAAAATGGTTTTTTTTGTTCTACCAAAGATGAGTTTGAGCAGATTATTAAAGTCACTTCTTTGAATATCTGTAATACATGCAAGGATATCATTTTCCCATGTTACACTATATTGTTCCAGCTTCCTATTAAGGCAGTGTGTATTTTTTTATGTTAATAAAGTATGTATATATATGTGTGTGTATATACACACACGTATAAACACACATATATGTTATGATTTCTCCCATATTTTAATGCACTTGTATCAATTCCAAACTCAGAGTTGGAAAGTTGTAAAATATGTACAGAATGGTCATGAACACTTATCCAATAACCAATAGCTAAGTTGTGAATAGTGCCTTCTTTCACCAGAAATTTGACAAACATGACAGACACAAATTGCTCAATTTAAGAACGCGGCTAAAGAATTTGGTCCATAGAGTCGAATTTATCATGATCCCCTTCTGTGAAGTATGTGTATTCTTTTTCCAAAAGACATTCTATAGATATTAGGTTGAGTTGAATAATGTTGCTTAGGTCTTCTGTTTTCTGGCTGATAATTTGCTTAATGGTTTTGTTTGTAGCACCCCAACTATTATTGTTGAATTGCCCAAGTCCCCTTTCCGTTCTATTAATTTATGCTTTATGTTGTAAAAGTTTAAGTGAATACATATACATATAATTGTTATACCTTTCAGATTTTTTCTTATCTCCTTATATTTTATTATTTATTTGAAGATTTATTTATTTTTATTGGAAGGTAGATATACAGTGAGAAGGAAATACAAAGATCTGTTTGCTGGTCCACTCCCGAAGCAGCCACAATGGCCAGAGCTGAGCTGATCTGAAGCCAGGAGCTTCTTCCAGGTCTCCAATGTGGGTGCAGGGTCCCAAGGCTTTGCTCTTCCAGGCCACAGGTAGGGAGCTACATGAGAAGCAGGGCAGTTGGTATACAAACCAGTGCCCATGTTGGATCCCAGTGCTAGCAAGGCAAGGACTTTAGCCACTAGGCTACCTTGCCTGGGTCATATTTATGTATTTATTTTTAAAGATTTATTTTTATTGAAAAGTCAATTATACAGAGAGGATGAGAGACAAAGAAAGATCTTCTGTTCACTGGTTCATTTCCCAGGTGACCACAACAGCCTGAGCTGTGCCAATCTGAAGCCAGGAGCCAAGGACCTCTTCTAGGTCTGCCATATGGGTGCAGGGTCCCAAGGTTTTGGGCCATCCTCAACAGCTTTCCCAGGCCACAAGCAGTAAAATGGATGGGAAGAAAGACCACCGGGATTAGAACCGGCGACCATATGGGATCCCGGATGCATTGAAGGAGAGGACTTTAACTGCTACACTATCGTGCTGGGCCCATATTTATTTATTTTTAAAATTTATTTTTCATTGGAAAGTCAATTATACAGAGAGGAGGAAAGACTTAGAGGAAGATCTTCCATCCGATGATTCACTCCACAAATGGCCACAATGGCCAAGGCTGCCCTGCCTCTTCTCCTCTCTGCATAATTGACTTTCCAATAAAAATGAATAAATCTTAAGAAAAAAGATTTTTTTTGATGACTGTAGAGCAATTCCTCTTTGGTAGTTTTCAGAAACATCACAATAAGTTTTCCCATTTAACCTGTAGTCTTCTGTAATGATTAGAAGTTACTTATATGAGACTGCAGTCAGACAAGTAAGACTGCATTTATATATGCATCATTTTCGGAATTGTTGGTAACATGGGCATATTTCCCCATAAAACCTTGCCTCCTTGTCACAAGGCCCAGCTCATTCACATTTCCCTCAGTGATAAAGCCTGTGGTAATTACACCCAAAGTTGTACATAATGGGGTTGATGGATTCTTTTTTATACCAAGTATTCGTGGACAAGGTCCTTTTAGTTCTGGATGTGTTATGTGGAGCCTCTTGAAATGTAAGGCCACTGGTCTAGTGAATCTTTAATATTTGGGTGGTTTTCTTGTAAAGCCATCTCCAGCAAGGCACACTTTAGTAACCATCCATGCCTTCGTTTTCCTTTTTCCTGTTTGAATAACCTTTAATACTTCTGTTTCTCCTAGGGCATGACCTTTAGGCAGAGGGACTTTCCATTTTCCCACTAATCTTTTCATTTTTTGTAATCCTATTAGACAGAACTTTAGCTCAGGCCTGACTGTCCCTCTCTGTCCAGCAGATGGGTCAGTACTGCTCCCTGGGGAGTCTCTTCATTGTTCTGTTCTTTTCTTTGGTATTTCTCTTTTAATGCATCTTGGCTCCAGACTGGCTCAGCTGGCCATTGCAGCCACTTGGGGAGTGAATCAGTAGATGAAAGATCTCCCTCTCTGTGTCTCCTTCTCCTTGTCACTCTACCTTGCCAATGAAAATAATTAATTTTTTAAGAATAAAAATATATCCTTCAGTTGATCTCAGTTTTAAGTGCTAACAAATCTCAGTGCTAACAAATTCTCACCTTCTGTCATACATCCAACTGCATGGTAGACATTTCTATCCAGAAGACCTGTATGTGTTTCAAGCATTGCATATTTAAATTTTGATGCCTCTCCTTGTTATTTTCTCTTACCTTTCTAGTTTCTACTAGATTGTCTTTCTCCCTAGATTACACAACCACCCAGTCAGCTTCTGAACTAGTTATTATCAGTCATTTCCGACTTGTGCATCTCTGCCACAGCTAAGTAAAAAGAAAATCAGCACTTTCTCCAGCTTCTTGCATAATAATGACAAATATGTTTGCTAACTTAATAATCAGGATGTTATTATGGGTCATCTCTGCTGTAGATTTTTATAATTCAAAATCAGGTAATAAGACCTAGTGTAAAATACTTAGAGCTGTTGATTCCTGGATTCTAGTGAGGCGAGTTTTTCCTTGTGTCGACTAATGAACATGGTGTTTCTTCAGGAAATGGTGACATTTAAGGATGTGGCTGTGGACGTCACTCAGGAGGAGTGGCAGCACATGAAACCTGCTCAGAGGACCCTGTACAGAGACGTGACGCTGGAGAACTACAGCAACCTAGTCATAGTGGGTAAGGACAGCTTTCCAACTTGAAACAGAAGTGCTTTCCATTTGGGGAATATGTAAAATGTCTAATCCTCCCTTTTTTACATGGTTTTACCCCATTTTTCCAAGTGAAGGGTAGTTATTTTGTGTCTTAGTGAATTGTCCTCCATCAGCAACTTTCACAAGCAATCAAGACCCTAAAACGCAGCCCAAGAATTACAATGGCCATATCCACTGTTAACCTCAAGCTCCTTTGCTCTTTCAAGGCTGTCAGCTTACCAAACCAGATGTGATCTTCAAGTTGGAGCGAGAAGAGGAGCCGTGGGTCACAGAGGAAGAAGTATTTGAGATGCAAAGTCCAGGTGAATAAGTGACATATCTTTAAATGAGAAGCCAGTTGGCATTTTTTCAGCGAAAGGTTGCTACCATATTACTTTTTCCAAGTTTTTTTTTTTTTTTTTTTGTGTAAAAGTCCTACTCTTGTAGAGTGGCAGGAATACTTTGAGATACAATGGCCAGGAATACTGTGAAATACTTTCTTTTTAAAGGACAGCAGCCTTGTCAAGTCTTAGGGTGCCAACCTACCATAATACACGTGTAACTTAACTTTCAGGATTGTTGTGCTAAGATCCTGGGGCTACCATTATGTTCATTTTATTTTCTTATGTGTTCAATCTTTTGTGGATGTGTAGTTTTTAAAAACACTTGTTTCACAGGTTAATTCATCTTAGTGTATTTCCTTCTTTCTATTTTGATTAGTTGAGATTTGTATTTTGTAACAATAGTTACACTTCTCATTATGCTTTAAAACCCACCGCACCCTGGATCAGAAATGTTTAAATTTCTGACTTAGAAATCCCGTGGTCTCTCCCCTATTTATTCCCATTTTCCCTTCATTTTGAAAATACATGATAAGTATACCTGGTTAAAAGTATAAATATTTCCAAAGATAACTACAAACAAATCCCCCTTCCTGTCCTTGGCATGCAGACCTCCCCTTTCTTTTGTTGCACAACTTTTTTTTCCCCCAAAGTTCCCGAATTCCTGACTGCTTATTTCACCATATAAGTTTTGGACTTAACTGTTTCCTTGGAATTTTAATTGATATTGTGCTAAGTATATAAAATATCTTTTCAGAGATTTGACATCCTTATAGTGCAAAAGCTTCTAGCTAACAGTGTCTCTGTTCACACTTGTTTTTTTAAAGATTCTGTTTTATTTGAAAGGCAGATTTTATACAAAGAGAAGAGAGAGGTCTTCCATCTGCTGGTTCATTCCCCAAATGTTTACAGATGGCCAGTTCTGAACTGGTCCAGAGTAAGCAGCCAGGAGTCTCCTGGATCTCCCAAGTGGGTGCAGGTTCCCAAGGCCATATTCCCAGACTGTAAGCAGGGAGTTGGATCAGAAGTGGAAAAAAAAACCAGGATACAAACTGGTGTTTGGTTCGTGCATGCTGATGGTAGCAGGTAGAGGATTAGCCTGTTGAACCATCAGCACCAGTCCTCACCTCTTTGCTTTTGTGTCCTGGACAAATGGAATTTTGTAAGGTTTTTTTGGTAGCTTCTATACGTTTATTGTTAAGTGTATACTGTGGACAAGAGGGAAAGTCAGTGGTATATCAGCATAAATTCAGTTTACTGATGATTGGATTATACCACTTGGAAAATGAGAGCTGCAAATGAAAAAGTAGGATATCAGATGAACAACGGACAATAAGTTTCATACATCAGCAACTAAGTAGAAGATATGCAATAAAGGGAAATTGCATCTATAGTCTTAATAGTAAACACAAAATTCTAGGGCCCAGCACAGTGGCTCAATTAGCTAATCCTCTGCCTTGCAAGTGCATGATCCTGTGGGATCCCATGCAAGTGCTGGTTCATGTCCTGGTTGCTCCACTTCTCATCCAGCTCCCTGCTTATGGCCTGGGAAAGCAGTCGGGAACGGCCCAGAGCTTGGGACCCTAAACATATGTGGGAGACCAGGAAGAAGCTCCTGGCTCCTGGCTTTGTTGGTCAGCTCCAGCTATTGCAGCCACTTAGGGAGCAAACTAGCGGGCAACATATCTATCTTTCTCTACTTCAAAAGTCTGCCTTTCTAAAAAAATAAATAAAATTCTATTATGGGTATAAATATGGATATGATACAAAACAGTGCTCTCTTCCATGTGCTTAAGAGATATGTTTTTGCTCATGAGAAAGCAGTCTTTATTTTAAGGGTTTACATAAAATTTTTGAGACAGGTTTCTCACCCATCCCCCCGCCACCCATGGTTTTTCAAAAAAATTCTGAGTGGTTAAAACAATTCTCTGTTTCTGAGCTGTATATGTTGCTTAAAGATGTCTTGGAACCTGCTGTTTTCTCCCATAGGTGACTTCATTTATTTGCCACTTTCACATAGATTGCTTTTGGTTTACAGACGGAATTTTATGAAACCAACCTGTAATTTAATTTAATTTGCTTCTTGGCAGTACTGTTGCATAGGTTTGAATGCCAATCCCCTTTATACTTATCTTTGAGTGGTGGAATTTCTTATTTTCCGAAGGATCAGATTAAAAACTATCCAGACACCTGCTCTGAGCTAGTAACGAGCCTCTGTAGTTCATATTGACCTCCCATATAAGGCAAGGTTTTGTGTTATAAGTTGTTTCATTGTTTATTTCTCAATTCAAAGATTATCAAAACACTCAGTATCTTATCCACCCTGCAATACCAATAGATTGTGTATGCAAATATCACAGCTGCCTGCATTTCCCACTGTTAGGGCTAGATTAAGTCCATGATGTTCCTTCCACCATCTCAGCACATCTGGATTGCACTGCTGGAAAAGCTGATTCCAACTTCCTGCCCACAAAGGTGGGCCTGTGTTCCCAAGAACTCTGTTCTCTCTAAGAAGCAGCAGCCACTCTCTATAGGGGTCTACCTTACCTCATATTCTTCCTCATGTTCTAGAATTGGAGTAGAGTTGCTTTTATTTTTATTGAAGGTATATGTTATGTTCATACAGTAGAGAGGAAACAGATGTTTCATTCTATCAGTATTAAAACTTTTTTTATCCTAGTATGAATCACCCTTAGCAATGTCTTCGTCCTTTGCTCTTCTCTAAAGGATTCCAATCTCCTTGCTTCTAAGACATTATTTTTTCTTCCTTGATGAAATTCTTTCACATTTCTTTCCTCAGCGGTCACCCCCAAAACTTCTGAATTACATACAAGATCCCTTTTCCTCCGTCTGTCTTCATGATTTATACATGTTCCTGGCATTTACTCCGTAGTTGACTCCAGAAATTATATTGTATGAATACATATTGTTAGTGTTTTCAGAAATTGTGAAATTCTTTACATCTTTCCCTTTGATTGAATATCCTAATTTATCGTTAGCAGTGATTGGCCATAATTCCCAAGAAACTGTCCTCCATATTTCCAGCTTATATATCAATCTCAGCCATTTCACAATTAACTTCTACTTCATCCTACTACAATGACTGCAATCTAAAACATACATATTATGTTTTCACACATCTGTGTCTGGAGTTTAAGCTACTAATCCACCAAGAGAAAGGCTTATGCTTTATTCTTCCTGTAAGTGAATCATATACAGCCTCTTTTGAAAAGTCTGTTGTTTTTGTTATGAAAATATCCACCTGTATTCTTTCAAAACAAATATTGAGGAATTCAGGACAGAGTTAGAAAGAGCATAATTTCATGAAGTATGGCTAGAATCATAAATTGAATGTTATTTTGGTAAAAGATGAGTTAATCAGAATACTTGAAAGTTTTAAGAGGAAAGATGTAGGTGAAGTTGCAAGATAAATTTTCTTTTTTAAAGCTGATTTTTTAAAATCAATATTTAATAATTTGTTTTACTTCTGATGATGTTTACATAGTTAAGAAGGATGCATGCCGTTGTGAGCCACCGGTTAAGGTGAGAAGGTTTGAGGAATGGGAGAACGTGGATGAGACCACTGTTTCAATCTCTTTTTTCCTCCTGTATCTTGGGCAGATTGGGAGAGAAGGGGTGAGGGTTCAGTACTGCTTCAGTATCTGGGGATAAGGGATTGCCATTGTATTCATTGTGAAATTCTGAATTAGAGAGTGGGGGAAAGAGTCTTCCATTCTTTTGGTTCAAGATGGTGGCAATGGCCAACACAGAGCCAAGCCTAAGTCAGGACCTTCAGCAGATCTCTCAAAGGGCTGGCAAAGGCCCAAGTGCTTGGGTCATTGATGCTTTTCCCAATTGTCAGTAAGGAGCTGGATCTCAATTGGAAAAGCCAGGATAGGAACAGGCACCCATGTGGATGCCGGCATCACAGCTGGCAGCTTTGCCCGCTATACCACCACACTGCAACATTTATTTATTTATTTATTTATTTATTTATTTATTTATTACTCGAGAGCTTGTATTCAAGTTCTCTTGAATCATCTTTGGCTCCTTAAGGTTTGTAAGAGTAAGAAAACAGAACAAAACACTTCCTTGTAGACTATAGGAGGGTGGATTTTAAGAGCTTAGTAAAATAGGATGAGATATCCAGTATTGGTTAAGAACTGGGGCCTGTGTGGTGGCATAGAATGCTAAGCCTCAGCTAGAGGCAGACATGTTCCATATAAGCACAGGTTCAAGTCCTCACTGCTCCACTTCTGATCCAGTTCCCCACTTATGGCCTGAGAAAAAAGACAAGGATGGCCCAAGTTCTTGGGCTCCTGTACCCACCTGGGAGATCCAGAAGAAGCCCTGGCTCCTGGCTTCAGACTGAGTCAGCTCTGGCTGTTGCAGCCATTTTGGAGAGAGAACCAGTAGTTGGAAAAGCTCTTGCTATCTCTCTCTGTAACTGTGATTTTCAAGTAAAAATAAATCTTTACCAAAAACCCAAAGTCCTAAATTATGTCGTCTTTGCCTTCGTTTTAAAATGTTGTCAGTCATGGGTTTTGTGTGTGTGTGTGTGTGTGTGATTTTTAATTGTGGAGGTTAGTTTTATCCTATATGTAGAAGATTACCAATAATCAACAACAAACAGACACACGAGATTACTGAGTAATGTAAAAAAAAAATACCTGCTCTGAGTTGTAATGGCCCACAGTTGATTAGTGCCCAAAGGAATGAAAAGCTAGTGCAGAATTAAATCATATAGGAAAGAATTGTAATTTGGGGTGATACTATAAACTAAAGCAAGACGTAGTGAGATTTGATGTTAAGGTCCGTCTAGAAATGAACACAGCGTAAGAAGCTGGGCCTGCTGCGGAACACTGCAGTGAACCACACACCACCTGCCTCCTGATCTCTTAAGATTCTCATTGGAAAAAAATTAATTTTCACATTTCTAAGTATGTCTTATGTTTAAGGTCAAATAAAAATGAATTATAGTG